ACAGGCGCCCGCCACAATGCCTGGCCATTTTTTGGTTGCAGCCATCATTGTTGTTTGGCGGGCCCGGGCTGGGGATTCGAACCTGCCACTTTAGGTGGGTGCTAAAGTGCTTGAGCCACAGGCGTCAAGCCTCATTTAAGTGTCTTAATGAACAATTTGGTCCTGGAAAAAAAATTTTTTTTTTTTTTTTTTTTGAGACAGACTTTCACTATGTTGCCTTTAGTAGAGTGCTGTGGCATCATAGCTCACAGCACCCTCAAACTCCTGGGCTTAAGCAGTTCTCTTGCCTCAATCTCCCAGTAGCTGGGACTACAGGTACCTGCCATAACACCTGGCTGTTTTTTTGTTGACGTTATCATTTGCTGGCCCAGGCAGGGTTCAAACCCGCCAGCCTTGGTGTATGTGGCTGGCACCATAACCACTGTGCTACGGGTGCTGAGATGAAAAAAATTTTTTTTGATGACACTGTAGAGTTTAATGCAGTATCTTCAATTATTATGCCAAAAAAACAAATCCACTTACATTGTCTATTATAAAGGAGGCAGTAGTTGTCAATAAGGAAGAGAGCATTTAATTATTGAGTAAAACTTCCATTTTGCATCAACATTCTATCTTTTATAAATACATATCAGGCTGGGTGGTGCTTATGGCTCAAAGGAGTAGGGCACCAGCTCCATAGGCTGGAGGTGGCAGGTTCAAACCCAGCCCCAGCAGAAAAGAGAAAAAAAAAAACCAAACAACTCAGGCTTGGTGCCCGTAGCTCTATGGTCAGGGCAGCAGCCTCATACACCAAGGCTAATGGGTTGGAACCTGGCCCGGGCCTGCTAGACAACAATGACAATGGCAACAAAAAAATAAATAGCTGGGCATTGTGGTGGGTGCCTGTAGTCCTAGCTGTTTGGGAGGCTGAGGCAAGAAAATCCCTTAAGCCCAAAAGTTTGAGGTTGCTGTGAGCTGTGATGTCATTGTACTCTACTGAGGGTGACACAGTGAGACTCTGTCTCAAAAAACTAAAAAAAAAGTATCAAATGAGTAGTGTCCTTCTGCCACTTACTGATCTTCTAGACTGATAACCCCTTTCTAGACTACTGCCACAGCTTCCTAACTGGTTTTCTAGCTTTTGTTTCTCAAAACTGTAGCAATTTAGCCTGCATACTGGCCATCATATTAGTTTTCCTAAAATACTATTCTTTTACTTCAAAATATCAGTGTTCTTTAATAAATAACCTTCTCTTTATCTCCTGACACTTCAGGTCCTTGACAGTTTGATCCCAGCCTACTTTTCCAACATTAACTTCAATTACTTACTTTTCTTGAAACCTTAAGTGCAACTCCATTGATTTCCCAGCTGTTCTCTATATATGTCTTATACTTACCTTTCTTGTACTTTACTCATACCTTTTCTTTTGCATATAATAGGCCTTTCTGGTTCTTTTTTTTTTTTTTTTTGAGACAGAGCCTCAAGCTGTTGCCCTGGGTAGAGTGCTGGGGCATCACAGCTCACAGCAACCTCCAACTCCTGGGCTCAAGCCGTTCTCCTACCTCCACCTCCCAAGTAGCTGGGATTACAGGCACCCACCACAGTGCCTGGTTATTTTTTGGTTGCAGTCGTCATTGTTTGGTGGGCCCAGGCTGGATTTGAACCCATCAGCTCAGGTGTATGTGGCCGGTGCCTTAGTCGCTCGAACCACAGGTGCTGAGCTGCCTTTCTGGTTCTTTATGCATTTAAATGTTACCCATTTTTCAGAACCTAATTTAAATTACTTCTCATTGCTTTTTTAATATACTCCAACTCATGGTGATTTCTTCTTCTTTTGAACTACTATTTACACTGCCTATAGCATTGGTAGGCAATAAAATATGTTTGGAATTATTAAATATTTAGTATTGCTTTGTTATTTACCTCTTTAATTCTTTAAAAAAAGTTTCAAACTTTCAGCTAAATTATTAAAATTCTTGAAGTGAGACCATGTTTTATGCTTTCTATATTCCTGATGGGACCATATAATGCTTGCAGATAAAAATGTATAAATATGTATTGATTTATTTTAGCTTAGAAATCTGAAGACGTGCTACTTGTCTAGGCAGTGGAATGGGTTTCTTCTTTCTTTTAGACAGTTTATTTTTGCAATTTAATACTTTCACAGAAAAAAGCTAAAAGTATATGCTCACTTCTACAGCACATATACTAAAATTGGAACTATACAGAGAAGATTAGCATGAAAAAAAAGAAAAAAGCTAAAAGTATTCTGGTTAAATTGACTGGAGAAAAAGTATATAGAATCAGTAAAAATTCGTATTGCAGTGTATTTAGTTAAGAAAGGAAACACAAGACTTTACTTTCTTTTCCCCATAATTATTTTTCTTTTCTTTCTAATAACTTTGGTTATTAGCAACAATTGATTATAAATTCTGTTTTTCAGACCTGCTTTCAAATATCATCATATATGCACCCTTAGTTCTTCAGAGTTGTTCTTCTAAAGTCACAGAAACTTTTGACTATCTGTCATTTCTGCCCCTTCAGACTGTACAAGGGCTACTTAAGGCAGTGCAGGTAAGTCTTCAGATTCCTAAGTAACTTGCCAAAAGTGAGGTTTAACTGTCTAATGGAAGTCTGTACATTTCTTTATAAATATGTCTGTGATATCCTATTCCCCTTAAGTCTACTACATAGAACTTGTATTAAAAGGGCAAGAGCACTGAACTAGATGGTTTTCCAAGTTTATTCCCTCCTCTTAGCATTCTCTCTCCTTTGACTCATTTTCAAGTTAGTGAATTAAGAGTCTTTTAGAAAATGGAATATAATAGATTTACAAAGGCATTCATAACTAGTTCTAATTTGTTATCTTAAAATGTACCATTGTCATTCTAAGTATAATAAACATTAAGCAATAAGCCAAGTGGTAAAAGTATCGGGTGGAAATAATAAAGCTTAATAAGCAAACTTGTTCTGTTTTTATCTACTGGTTTGTCTTTCAGCCCCTTCTCAAAGTCAGTATGTCGATGAGGGACTCTTTGATACTTGTCCTTCGGAAAGCTATGTTTGCCAGGTATGAAGTGTCCCTTGAGATCATAGGAAGTGATGCTTTCTAATGCTGGGGCTAAAAACTGCCATCTCCTAGTACTACCTATTCACAGTGGTCTCGCAAATTCCTAACCCAACAGAGCACTTTAATCAAGTAAGGGATTGTGCTACATGCTTTGTGTTGTGTATGTTTTGTTTAGTCTTCAGAACAATCCTATGAAGTGAGAAGTTTTATAATTCACTTTTTTAAAGATAAGGAAATTTAGGTTTAGAGAAAATAAGTGATTTTCCAGAGGTTAACTAATAGTAGTATTTAAAATCAGGTTTAACATCAGAGCTTGTGATCTTAAGTACTGTGCTGTACTCCTTCAAGAATAACCTTCAGGACAATTTTTTTGTTGTTATTGTTTTTGAGACAGGGTCTCAAACTGTCACCCTGGGTAGAGTGCCGTGGCATCATAAATTACAGCAATCTCCAAATCTTGGACTCAAGCGATCTTGCCTCAATTTTTCTATTTTTAGCAGAGACAGAGTCTCAGTTTTGCTCAGATTGGTCTCAAACTCCTGAACTCAAGTAATCCACCTGCCTTGGCCTCCCAGAATGCTGGGATTACAGGCATGAGCCATTGCACCTGGCCCAAGATAATGTTCTAATGTCATTTACTGAGACCTGAGCTGGAGCAGTTCCAAAGTTGGGAGGACCAGAGCACCTTAGTAGAGAAGAATAATACGTAGAATCTCACTTCAGTGAACATCACAATTAACGATCTCTAGTGGCTAGTAGATCAAATTATGAGGGGACTGAGTTCTATTTGGAGCTCAGCCGATGCCTACTGACCTCTCTTTTATTTCTTAGTATATAAGGGATAATACCATCTCCTCAAAATGTTATGAGGTAGTAATATGTGAAAAGCATTTGATACTTTGAGGATAAGATGCTTAATTAATGCCACATCAGCCATATTATAATACAGTGTCTAGATGGAACAGCTAAGCCACATGCTGTTACATTTGCTCAGAACTGATGATATTTTTGTTATTCCTCACTCAAAGGCATGGCTGATAGACTGAGATTTTGTGTTGTAGTATCTGTAACATGTATTAATTGTTAAGCCTCAATAAAAAGATGAGTCTGTCATTTTTCTGAACGTAAGATTTACATGGCACCTAGTCTACACTTCTTTATAAAGAAAGGAAACATAAAGAGAAGCACTTCTTCAGACAGCAAAAATCAGCAATTTCCTTTGCTATTCAGTACTTAGAGTTGAATTACCAGCCCATTTTACAGCTTCTCAGCACTCTTATTCTCATTCCTGATGTAGAATTGAGAGCAAGATAGAAGAAAGTACAGTGTGTCATAAGGGTAAGACAGTGAAAAAAGAGAGCAAGATAGAAGAATGTACAGTGTGTCATAAGGGTAAGACAGTGAAAAAAGTCAGCTGAATTTCCATACTGGTAATTACTTTGGATAGCTGATGCTTTGAGTACGTATATTCATCGTGGTTTGTTTGGTGCTGCATTGTTTATACATACTTCTTTTCTGTATGGAACTAACTGGATTCTTCTGATCCAGAGGTATATTCCTAAGAATAAGTACTATGATTAACTTCTCTGTCTATTCCTGAGCTAGGCAGCTTGATGCCCGAAAATCTGCAGTTGCTGGATTTTTGCTGCTTCTGAAGAACTTTAAAGTTTTAGGCAGCCTGTCATCCTCTCAGTGCAGTCAGTCAATTGGTGTCAGTCAGGTAAGAATTTTTCATGTTTACTTGTAGTATTTGATAATGCAAGCTATTTTCTTTTATTCCTGTTATGGTTGGAATGATCCTGAAACCTAGAGTTTCATGATTATGATGATGATACTGGCTAATACTTATACTAAATTACTATCCAGTGTGGTAGCCACTATCCTCTATGTGGCTGTTACACACTTGATTGAAATGTGGCTAGTCTAGCTCAGCGCCTGTAGCTCAGCGGTGAGGGTGCCATACACATAAACTGGAACTGGCAGGTTTGAACCCAGCCCAGGCCTGCCAAACAACAATGATAAGAAAACTACATCAAAAAATTGCCAGCTGGCTCGGCGCCTATAGCTCAACTGGCTAAGGCGCCAGCCATGTACACCTAAGGTGGCAGGTTCGAATCCCCAGTCCGGACCCACCAAACAACAATGATGGCTGCAACCAAAAAATAGCC